CTGTCTTTGTCACTAGTTTGTTGAAAAAAAGAGACGAGCCTAATAAGAAAGACAAAGAAAGACAAAGCGTTTTTCCTAGTTGAGTTGAGGTTAGCTATACAGAAATATTCCTAGGATTGTTTTTGTGTACACGTGTTATGATCCATGTTGATTCATCTCTAACTGATCTTTACCATAGTTACTGATCCCCTTCTCATGATAACTTCTGTTGCTTTAAGGTTTCTGCATTAGCTGCTCTGGAATGGGGACATCAAACTCTTTCATGTTTTGGGTTTTCTAACTATTTCCATATCACCCAAATGTGTTCTCCCCTTATCATGTGATCCAAGTCCAACCACATTGCTGCATTTGCCCTAGATCTAAAGTCCGCATATGAGGGAGAACATATGATTTTTGGTCTTCTGAGCTTGGCTGACCTCACTCAGAATGATGTTCTCTAGTTCCATCCATTTACCTGTAGATGATAAGATTTCATTCTTCTTCATGGCTGAGTAAAATTCCATTGTGTACAAGTACCACATTTTCTTGATCCATCCATCAGTACTGGGGCATCTTGGTTGTTTCCATAACTTGGCTATTATGAATAGTGCTGCAATAAACATGGGTGTGCAGGTGCCTCTGGAGTAACCTGTGTCTCATTCCTTTGGTATATCCCCAGGAGTGGGATTGCTGGATCATATGGAGGATCTATGTTTAGATTTTTAAGGAGTTTAAATTTTTTCCAGAGTGGTTGCACCAGCTTGCATTCCCACCAGCAGTGGATCAGGGTTCCTTTTTCCCCACATCCTCGCCAACACATGTTGTTGGTGGTGTTTTTAATGATGGCTATTCTAACGGGTGAGGTGGAATCTTAGTGTAGTTTTGATTTGCATTTTCTTTATGGCTAGAGATGGTTAGCATTTTTTCATGTGCTTTTTGGCCATTTGAATTTCTTCTTTTGAGAAAGTTCTGTTTAGTTCAGTTCTCCATTTTTTAATTGGTTTATTGATTTTAGGAGAGTTTAGTTTAAGTTCCTTGTATATTCTGGTTATCAGTCCCTTGTATGATGTATAGCTGGCAAATATTTTCTCCCAGTCTGTGAATGGTCTTTTCAGTTTAGAGACCATTTCTTTTGCTGTGCAGAAGCTTTTTAATTTTATGAAGTCCCATTTGTCCATCCTTTCTCTTAGTTGCTGGGCTGCTGCAGTTGTATTGAGGAAGTCCTTGCCTATACCTATTACTTCCAGAGTGTTTCTTGCTCCTTCCTTTAGTAAATACAGAGTTTCAGGTCTAATATTTAGGTCCTTGATCCATTTTGATTTGATACTACTACAGGGTGATAGACATGGATCTAATTTCAGTTTCTTGCAGATGGATAACCATTTTTCCCGGCAACATTTGTTGAAGAGGCTGTCTTTTCTCCATCGTATATTTTTGGCACCTTTGTCAAAAATGAAGTGGGTATAGTTGTGTGGATTCATATCTGGATCTTCTATTCTGTTCTACTGTCTTCATGTCTGTTTTTATGCCAGTACCATGCTGTTTTTATTGCTACTGCTTTCTAATATAGTTTGAAGTCGGGTATTGTGATACCTCCAGCATTGCTTTTTTTTGCTGAGTATTGCCTTGGCTATTTGCAGCCTATTGTGTTTCCAAATGAACTTTAGGGTAGATTTTTCAATCTCTGTGATGAAAGCCATTGGGATTTTGATGGGAATTGCATTAAACATGTAGATTGCTTTCAGTAGTATAGCCATTTTTACTATGTTGATTCTACTGATCCATGAACACGGGAAATCTTTCCAACTTCTGTAATCTTCCTCAATCTCTTTCTTCAGGAGTTTGTAATTCTCCTTGTAGAAGTCATTCACATCTGTTGTTAAATTTACTCCTAGGTATTTGATATTTGGGGGGGGCTATTGTGAATGGAATTGTTTCCATATATTCCTTCTCAGTTTGTTCGTTGTTGGTGTATAGAAAAGCTAATGATTTTTGTAGGTTGATTTTCTATTTTGCCACCTTACTCTAGTTGTTTATGGTGTCTAAGAGTTTTTGGGTATAGTTTTTTGGGTCTTTAAAGTATAGGATCATATCATCTGCAAATAAGGATATTTTGACGGTTTCTTTACCTATTTGTATTCCTTTTATTTCTTCTTCTTGCCTAATTGCTCTGGCTAGAAATTCCAGGACTATGTTGAACAGTAGTAGGGATAGTGGGCACCCTTGTCTCATTCCTGATTTTAGGGGGGAATGGTTGTAGGTTTGTCATAAATAGCCTTTACAATGTTGAGGTACATTCCTTCTATTCCTAGTTTTCTTAGAGCTTTTATCATGAAGTTGTGTTGGATCTTGTCGAAGGCTTTTTCTGCATCTATTGAGATGATCATATGGTTTTGTCTTTGCTTCTATTGATGTGTGTATTACATTTATAGATTCATGTATGTTGAACCATCTGTGGGATGAAGCTGACTTGGTCATGGTGTATGATCTTTCTGATGTGTTGTTGGATTCCATTTGCTATTATTTTATTAAGGATTTTTGCATCAATATTCATTAATGAAATTGGCCTATAATTCTCCTTTTTGGAGGTGTCTTTGGTTATATTGGCTTCATAGAATGAGTTAGGCAATGTTCATTCCCTTTCTATTTTATGGGACAGTTTAAGGAGAGTTAGTATTAGTTTTTCTTTAAAGGTTTGATAGAATTCAGCAGAGAATCCATCGGGTCCTAGACTTTTCTTTTTTGCGTGACTCTTGATTGCTGCTTCAATTTCTTTTTGTGTTATAGATCTATTCAGGTGATTAATATCTTCTTGGTTCAGTTTTGGGTGGTTGTAAGTTTCTAGAAATCTGTCCATTTCTTCAGGGTTTTCAAATTTATTAGAGTATAGACTTTCAAAGTAGTCTCTGATAATTTCCTGGATTTCCATGGTGTTTGTTGTTATCTCCCCTTTTGTGTTTCTGATTTTACTGATTTGGGTTTTTTCTCTCCTCATTTTAGTCAGGTTTGCCAGGGGTCTGTCAATCTTATTTATTTTTTCAAAGAACCAGCTTTTTGTTTCATTGATTCTTTGTATGTTTTTTTTTGGTTTCTATTTCATTGATTTCAGCCCTTATTTTAATTATCTCTTTCCTTCTGCTTATTTTGGGATTTGCTTGTTCATGTTTTTTCTAGGAGTTTGAGCTGTAGTATTAGGTCATTGATTTGAGATCTTTCTGTCCTTTTAATATATGCACTTATGGCTATAAACTTTCCTCTTAGGACTGCCTTTGCTGTGTCCCATAGGTTCTGGTAGGTTGTGTTTTCATTTTTATGAACTTCCAGGAACCTTTTAATTTCCTCTTTTATTTCATCAATGACCCATTTTCATTGAGCAATGTGTTGTTCAGCTTCCAATTCTTAGCATGTTTTTTACTGCTGTTTTTGTTGTTGAGTTCTAGTTTTAATTCATTGTGATCAGATAGAATACATGGGATTATTTCTATTTGCTTATATTTGCTGAGGCTTGCTTTGTGCCCTAAGATATGATCAATTTTGGAGAAGGTTCCATTGGCTGCGGAGAAGAATGTATATTGTGCAGAAGTTGGATGAAATATTCTGTAGACATCAGCTAGGTCCATTTGATCTATGGTGTGGTTTACTTCTAGAATTTCTTTATTGATTTTTTTGTTTGAATGACCTATCTATTGGTGATAGGGGAGTGTTAAGGTCTCCCACTATCACTAGTTGGAGTTTATATATGTTTTTAGGTCCTTCAGAGTATGTTTGATGAAATTGGGTGCATTGACGTTGGGTGCATATAGATTGATAATTGTTATTTCCTTTTGGTGTATTTCCCCTTTTATTAGTATGGAGTATCCTTCTTTATCTCATTTGGTCAATGTAGGTTTTAAGTCTACTTTGTCCAAGATAAGTATGGCTTATCCTACTTGTTTTCAAGGACAATTTATCAAACCATTGGTTTGGTAAATCTTCTTGAAGCCTTTCACTTTCAGCCAGTGCTTATTTCTGTCAATGAGGTGGGTCTCCTGTAGGCAGCAGATTGTTGGATCTTCCTTTTTAATCCAGTTTGTTAGTCAGTGTCTTTTGATGGGGAAATTTAGTCCATTAACATTCGGTGTTAGTATTGATAAGTACGTAGTGATCCCTGTCATGTAGTTGTCTTTGTTGATTAAGAGTTTGATTATGTGTAGCTAAAACAATGTTATGCTTTACTTTCTTATCTTTTCTTCTCTTGTGGTTTGGTATTGCCTGCCCTTTCATGGTTTTGTTTGCTTTCATTATCTGTGTGAAGAATTCCTTGAAGAATCTTTTGTAGTGGTGGCTTGGTAGTCATATATTGTTTTAGTTTCTGCTTATCATGGAAGACTTATTGCTCCATCTATTTTGAATGATAGTTTTGCTGGGTAGAGTATCCTGGGGTTAAAGTTATTTTCATTCAGTGCCTGGAAGATCTCACTCCAAGCTCTTCTTGCTTTTAATGTTTCTGTTGAGAAGTCTGCTGTGATTTTGATGGGTTTACCTTTGCATGTTACTTGTTTTTTCTCTCTTACAGCCTTCAATATTCTTTCCCTAGTTTCTGAACTTGTTGTTTTAATGATTATATGTCATGGGGTAGTTCTATTTTGATCTGGTCTGTTTGCTGTCCTGGAGGCCTCTTGCATCTGTGTGGGAATATCTTTCTCTAGATTTGGGAAATTTTCTGTTATTATTTTGTTGAATATATTACGCATTCCCTTTGCTTGCACCTCTTCTCTTTCTTCGATGCCCGTGATTCTCAAGTTTGGTCTTTTGATGGAGTTGGTGAGTTCTTGCATTTTCTTTTCACAGGTCTTGAGTTGTTTAATTAATTGTTCTTTGGTTTTTCCTTTAATTACCATTTCATCTTTGAGTTCTGAGATTCCGTCTTCTGTTTGTTCTATTCTGCTGGATTGGCCTTCCTTTTTGTTTTGCAGTTCTGTTTCATTCTTTTTTCTGAGGTTTTCCATATCCTGGGTGGTTTCCTCTTTAATGTTGTCCAGCGAGCTCTGGGACCGGCTCCAGGCTGGGGTCCGGCGCAGACTGGTGGCGGGGATCCCGGTGGTCATGGATCTGGCGACACAGACAAGTGGTGGATGTTCTGTGTGATGTGGGTCTGGGGGCTAGAGGCCAGTGTGGCTGAGGAACAGGTATCCTGCCATGTGTGGGTCTGGCACAGGGCTGTGGCCTGGTGCAGCCTGAGGGGTGGAGAGCTGGGGAGAACTGAGCAGCAGCTCTGCAGACCTACAGGGCAGGGATTTGGCAGGTCAGCTGTTCTTTTATTAGATCCTGGTGTGGTGAAGCCTTCCATGATCTAAGTCTTTAGACTGCCATGTTTCTGGCTGTCACTGGAGCTTTACCTCAGTCAGGCATGTCTCCAGCTTCTCCACAGGATCTCTGGGTCAGCTCACGAGGTCTGTGGCTCGGCTCTGTCCCCATTGTCATCTTGGATCTTCAGTTTTATTGAGTATCTTTGCATTGATGTTCATTAAGGTGACTTGCCTGTTGTTCTCTTTTTTGGATGTGTCCTTGTCTGGTTTTGGGATGAATGTAAAGTTGGCTTCATAGAATGAATAAGATAGTGTTCTTTTCCTTTCTATTTCATAGAAAAATTTAAGGAGAGTTGGCATTAGTTCTTCTTTTAAGGTTTGTTAGAATTCCGTAGAGAACCCGTCAGGTCCTGGATTTTTTTTTGTTGCAGGGTGGGGGGGGGAGACTGTTTATTTCTGCTTTAATTTCATTACATGTTACAAATCTGTTTAGGTGGTTAATATCCTCTTGGTTCAGTTTTGGATGGTCATAAGTATCTAGACATTTTCCCATTTCTTTAAAATTTTCAAATTTTTTTGAATATAGTTTCTGATGATTCCTTGGATTTCCATGGTGTTTGTTGTTATCTCCCCATTTGCATTTCTGATTTTACTGATTTGGATCTTTTCCCTCCTCTTTTTAGTCATATTTGCCAGGGGCTTTTCGATCTTGGTTTTTTAATTTTTTCTTTTTAATAGAAGAATCAGCTTTCTGTTTCATTGATTCCTTGTATGGTTTTTTGGGTCTCTATTTCTTTAATTTTGGCCCTTATTTTTTATTACTTCTCTCCTTCTGCTTGGTTTGTGTTTCACTTGTTCTTTTTTTCTAGAAATTTGAGATGTAGCATTGGGTCGTTTATTTGAGATCTTTCTGTCCTTTGAATGTATGAATTCATGGCTATAATCTTTCCTCTTAGAGCAGCTTTGCTGTGATCATAAGTTCTAGTAGGTGGTGTTTTCTATTGTCATTAACTTCCAGGAACCTTTTGATTCCTCCCTTATTTCTTTTATGACCCACTGATCGTTGAGTAATGTGTTATTCAGCCTCCAATTGTTTGGCATATTTTCTGCTGTTGTTTTTGTTGTTGTGTTCTAGTTTTAATACATTGTGATCAGATAGAATGCAAGGGATTATTTCTATTTTCTTATATTTGCTGAGGCTTGCTTTGTGCCCTAAGATATGATCTATTTTGGAGAAAGTTTCATGAGCTGCGGAGAAGAATGTGTATTTTTCTGTTGTGAGATGACATATTCTGTAGACAGCAGTTAGGTCTATTTGTTCTATGGTGCCATTTAGTTCTAGGATTTCTTTGTTGATTTTTTGTTTGGATGACCTATCTATTGGTGATAGAGGAGTATTAAAGTCTCGCCACTACCACTGTGATGGAGTGGAATAATATTGTGCTTTTAAGTCCTTTAGTGTATGTTTGATGAAACTGGTTGCACTTACATTGGGTACATATAGGTTGATAATTGTTATTTCCTTTTGATGTATTTCCATTTTATTAGTATGAAGTGTCCTTCTTTGTCTCATTTGACCAATGTAAGTTTGAGGTCTACTTTGTCTGATGTAAGTATTGCTACCCCTGCCTGTTTTGGGGGGGCTTTGGCTTAGTAAATCTTCTAACCTTTCACCCTAAGCTAGTGTTTATTTCTGTCAATAAGGTGGTTCTCTTGTAAATAACAGATTGTTGGATCTTCCTTTTTAACCTTGTTTGCCAAATGGTGTCTTTTGATGGGGAGTTGAGTCTTTGACATTCCATGTTAATATTGATAGTTATGTGGTGACCTGCCATTTAGTTGTTTTTGTTGCTAAGAGTTTGATTGTATGCAGCCAAATCACTGCTACTCTCTGATTACTTGGCTTTTCTTCTCCTGAGGTTTAAAGTCCCTCTCCTTTTGTGGTTTTGTTTGCTTTCATCTTCTGTCTGCAAAATTCCTTACAGAATCTTCTATAGTCACCACTACAGAATCATATGTTGTTTTAGTTTCTGTTTATCATGGAAGATTTTTATTGTGCTGTCAATTTTGAATGATAGTTTTGCTGGGTAGAGTATCCTAGGACTGAAATTATTTTCATTCAGTGCCTGAAATACCTCATTTCATGCCCTTGTTGCTTTTGAGGTTTCTGTTGAGAAATCTGCTGTTATCTTGATGGATTTACCTTTATACATTATTTGTTTTTTCTCTCTTACAGATTTTAATACTCTTTCTCTGTTCTCTGTGCTTGTTGTTTTAATGATAATATGCTGTGGAGAGGTCCTATTTTGGTCAAGTCTGTTTGGTGTCCCAGAGACTTCTTATACCTGAATGGGCAAAACTTTCTCCAGATTTGGAGAATTTTTCTGTTATTATTTTATTGAATGTATATGTAGCCCTTTGGCTTGCCCTCTTCTCCTTTTTCAATGCCCATGATTTTCAGGTTTGGTCTTTTGATAGAGTTGCTGAGTTCTTGCATATTCTTTTCACAGTTCTTGAGTTGTTTGACTAAGAGTTCTTCTGTTTTTTCGTTAATTTCTATTTTATCTTTGAGCTCTGAGACTTTGTCCTCCACTTGTTCTCATCTGTTGGCATGGCCTTCCACTGTGTTTTTTGTTTGAGTAAAGGGACGTTTTATTTCCAGGATTTCTGTTTGGTTCTTTTTTCTGGGGTTTTCCATATCTTTGTTCAACTCCTCTTTAATGTTTTGTGTTGTCATCTTTAATTCACATATTCCCTTTTAATAGTGACACTTTGGTGTTTGTTGAAGTTCTCTCTGAGTTCATTTCTTTGATTCTATGTCTTCTTTTGTTCTTTATTTTTGGTGTCTTGAAACTTCTTGGGTTCACTTTATACATTTTGGTTAACCGTGTGTAATATCTTCTCCATGAATTTCTCAGTGATTTGTTCCAAGATTGCTTCATTGAAGGTTTTTTGGTGGGCATCACTGAGCTCCTTAGTGACTTTTATCATTGTTTTTGGGATCAGGAACTGGATATCCATTTTCTTCATTTCCCTCTGAAACTTGTATTGAATTGTTTCTTTGAGGAGAGTGGTTTCCATCCCTTCTTCTTCTTCCCTTTGCTCCACTTGGTGCTGTGAAACTGTGCTTTTGATAGGCTAGTTGGTGGTTTCAATTGCCTATTTTCTTTTCCTCAATTTAATTTTCATGATGTGACTTACTTTAGTTGTTAGCTAGGTTGATGTGCTCTTTCTGTCCCTGGCCTAGAGGTGTAATTTAGCAATAACAAATTCACAAGTTCAATGCCAGACCAGTTGTTTACATATTATATAGAAAACCCCTTGGTGATAATATCTACAAAAGTGGGAGCTGGGTGGAATGGTTATTAGATTAGATATAGAAAATTGGGTAATTGGTAAAGGTGGCACTAAAGGGGAGTGGGTAGAAAAGCAGGGTGGGGAGAGAGTTACGGTTGCTGCTGGGTTTTGTGGCTATTGTGTGTGCCTTGGGTGTAATATTGTTATTATATTTAAGGGTGCTTGTGTCAGGGATTGCAGGGTATGTTGGGAGTGTATCAGTTGGTTCAGGTAGGCTAGTCAGCAAGTGGTTGTGTAAGGAGGGAGATGTAGAATGGTGACAATTTGGGGAAGGATAGGAGGGAGAGGTTGAAGGCAGGGGGAGAGATGGTGTTATGAGAAGGGGCAGAAAGAGGTAGCTGGGAGGGAGAACGATGGACTGTAACAAGGAAAGGAGGGAAAGAGAAAGGGGTAAGAATATGAATAAGAAATAGTGATGCTAAAGTTAATAATACGAAGGATACAAAAAACACCTGATACTGCAACAACTAAAAGGTCAGTCTGTTTGGTAAAAATTCTGGATTATTTCTTAAGCATCCAACTCAGGAATTGGCATAAAAGTGGGAGCTTTGATGTGGCTCACCAAGTGACTGGCTTGTGAGTAGTGTTTGTTTTCCTTCTGTTTGAGAGCAAGTTGCAATTGGGAGCTGAGGTAACTCACTGTCAGTTCATGCAGAGTGGTCAGAACTTGTTGTGTTTTTACCAGTGGCAGCTGCATTGCCATAACAGCTGCAACTCTGTTTGGTCAGGTCCTCCCCCAGCAGGATGGGGGGCAATTCAGTTTTGAGTACTGCCCTCTGTCCCAGGATCCACTACTTGCCTTGCTTTGGGAGGTTGGCTTATCTTCTCCACCCCTCCTTCCAGCCTTTGTGCCTTGCCTGACCTCTGCTAGGTGCAGTTTCAGCTCTCTCTAGAGGTTGCTTGTCTCCTCACCCCCCTTCAGCCTTTGTTGTTTTTTCCACTGTCATTCACTGAGAGTTCAGCACTTGAGAGTTTGGCTCTTGCTCCACCCCCATTTCCAGGGCAGGTTCAGCATTCCAATCCACCTCCACTATTGGTGTTAGGTTTGCAATTCACTGTTTTTGTTTTTCTGTTTTTGTTGCAGGGGGAAGGATTCATTCTGGCCAGCAGCTGCTCTTGATTATGTTCCTGGGGTGGTTAGGAGAGTCATGCACAGTGTGTGTTGCTCACTTGAGTGTTCTGCAGATTCCATGCAAGCAGCTTTGAAGACAGTTGGCAGGGAAAATGAGTGCTGCTTTTTCTGTGTAATGTTGGCATAAGGAGGCTTTCCATGGGTCAGGGTCCTGGATGTTTCAGAGTTCAATATTGATTGGTACTCTATGTTGCTTATTGAGAGAGAAAAAAAAAGTGGCAAGAAGACTTCTCTCCTAGGCTGGACATGCCTTGCTGGCTGTGCCAAGGGGGATTTTCCTTGCTATAAATATACTTAAAGGCTATTTTAAGGGTCAGTCCTTGGATTTTATGTGCACCTAATGTGTTGATGGGTTATTATTTTGGCTAGAAGCAATCAGAATTACCCAGGT